GGTCGATGTAGGGTCGATGTGAGGTCGATGTGGGATCGATGTAGGGTCGATGTGGGGTCGATGTAGGGTCGCTAGGAGGTCGATGTATTTGTGGATGGAAAAATGTATAGGTTAAATGAGGAGGTGCAGGTGAAGGAGGAGAATAAAAAACATTGAGGAGGGAGAATAATTGTTTTCCCTCCACCGCCACCACATTTCTATTGTTTTTCCTCCACCACCACCACCGCTACCGCCACCACATTTCTATTGTTTTCCCTCCACCACCACCACCACCGCCACCACATTATTATTGTTTTCCCTCCTCCTCCTCTTCCTCCTCCTCCATCTCCTCCACATTTCTATTGTTTTCCCTCCAAGTTTGGCCTTTAGGCCTTTTAGGCCTGATTTTGACCTCTTTGGCCTTTCGAGGGAAAACAATAGAAATGTGGAGGAGCTGGAGGAAGGGGAAATGGTGGTGGTGCTGGTGGAGGGAAAACAATTCAAATTTGGTGGTGGTGGAGGGAAAACAATTCAAATGTGGTGGTGGTGGAAAGAAAACAATTCAAATGTGGTGGTGGTGGTGGAAAGAAAAACAATAGAAATGTGGTGGCGGTGGTGGTGGTGGTGGTGGAGGGAAAACAATAGAAATGTGGTGGCGGTGGTGGTGGTGGTGGAGGGAAAACAATACAAATGTCGTGGTGGTGGTGGTGGTGGAAGGAGAACAATAGAAATATGGTGGTGGTGGTGGTGGAGGAAAAACAATAGAAATGTGGTGGCGGTGGTGGTGGTGGTGGTGGAGGGAAAACAATAGAAATGTGGTGGCGGTGGTGGTGGTGGAGGGAAAACAATTCAAATGTGGTGGTGGTGGTGGTGGAAAGAAAAACAATAGAAATGTGGTGGTGGTGGTGGTGGGAAAACAATTGAAATGTGGTGGCGGTGGTGGTGGTGGTGGGCAAACAATAGAAATGTGGCGGTGGTGAATATAGAGTTTCACTATTTACGAAGCAGTGTTAAAAAAAAGGTGAGTGTAGGGTCGATGTGGGGTCGATGTGGGGTCGATGTAGGGTCGATGTGAGGTCGATGTGGGATCGATGTAGGGTCGATGTGGGGTCGATGTAGGGTCGCTAGGAGGTCGATGTATTTGTGGATGGAAAAATGTATAGGTTAAATGAGGAGGTGGAGGTGAAGGAGGAGAATAAAAAACATTGAGGAGGGAGAATAATAAAAATTGTGGAGGAGGGAATAAAAACATTGAGGAGGGAAAATAATAAAATTGTGGAGGAGGGAAAAAGAAAAAATTGAGGAGGGAAATAAAATTGAAAAGGGAGAGGGGTAAGTAAAACATGACTTGCTTTCTTTGACTGTTTTTATAGATTTCTTTCAAATCGCTGTGTATTTGACTCTTTTTGTTTTAAACGGTATCTTGTGTCAGATTTTATTGCTAGCAATTATTAGTCGCGTGTTTTAATTGATCCTTGTTAAGTTATTTGTTTTATAATAATACGTCAAGGTGCTCCCTTGGGTCTTTCCTTTAGAGCAAATTTGTATTCAACTTTGGGCTTGTGAACTCGCATAATTAACTGACTAACAGTGCGTGAAATTACAAGACTTTAATAGTTTTTCATTTCCTGGAGATAGAACGGAGAAAACGTCAGACAAAATTGAAATAGAGTTTTCAGTTCTACTTTGTGTATTTTGTTTATATATATCCGAGTTTTACAGCTCAGTAAGAAGACATAAACTAAACGGAAATAAAGACGTTTCAACTCCACTTTGTGCATATGTGTTTTGTTTATATATCTGAGTTTTAGCGCTACATAAGATATAGGAAGCCGTTTCTCGCGTTGCTAGGTGATCGCTTCTCTTATTCCTATTTTCCTTTTAATAGACTGTCCGAAAACCGAGCTCAAGTTACTTCACGGGCAAGTCTGGGCACTCATTAGTAAACCTATACCGAATTAGTATGCAGGAAGACACATACATATTAATAAAGGGAATCCACTTTTTCCCCAGGTTATAACAATGGGTGACGTCATTGACTAGACCTTGCTAGACACCAAAACGGTTAAATTTGACCCTAGTATACTACTATGACCCACGCTAAGAGCCACGCGTCCTTCACGAATTGAGGCAGAAAAAAATGGTGGAAGACGCGGAGAGCGATATTGCTATTCGTTTTGTCGACGAAAACGAGAGATTTCTGCTAAAGCTGTGTCAGCGAAACGAAAATTAAAAAAGAATCGCCCTTCCTCTCTTGCATAGAGCTAACAGTACAGCAGGGAAATCCTTAACACACTGAATATTCTCTCAGGATCATTTATAATTTACAGTTTGAAGAGAGCAATTTCTGGTTTGATATTTATTCTTTCATTAGTCTTTTATTATTCAACAAAAATAACACTTGGCGTCCTATAATAATAATAATAATAATAATAATAATAACAATGACAATTTAATAACTTCTAATTACATGTACATGAATATTACTTGCTACTTGCTTTATTGTACAAACGACCGGTTTCAATAGACCGGCGAAATTTCTCATTTTTTTAAAGCACTGAGGTTACGATAACTTCGAGTTAAACTGATTTCACGGGTTGTCAAAGAGTCGAGCGATTCCCTTTTGCCAGGTGAGCGCCGAGACTCATTTCGCTTCAATATTCAGAAATGCTCTCGATCTCTTTACGCCTTCATTGCCCTTCGCCCGACATGTTTTGCACGGCGTTTAGTCATGCGAAACCTCCACGAAACATCCACAAGGCGCGCGAGGTAACTTTACCCCGATTCTAAAAATAACTCGAGACGAATTACCTATGGAATAGGGTGTATATGGAGGATGCCTTCTCTGTCCCCTTTATCCTCTCTTGGTTTAACCTGTTATTTACACATAATTACCGGTACAACAACTTTTTAAAGGTTCCACTACTCTGAAAGTTAACGACGCAACTGATACAGATAGTTGTCAATTACAACTTGTTTTACTTAATTACAAAAAAGGAAAATATATAATAAACAATATTCCTCTTTAGTTTAAAAACGTAACTATGATTTATCAATGCTCTTGACTATTACAAACAGTGGTACCTATCAAGTTCTGACATTCTTTTTACTCATATATATATTTTTTTATTTTTTTTTTTACAATTTATTTATTAAACAAAATTCAACATAACAGTACAATTAACTTTACAATAACAGGGCGGAAAAAAAGAGGCAAAACAGTAAAAAAAAAACAAACAAGGAAAAAATACGCGAAATACTAAAGTTCAACAGATTAACAACAACTAGAAGAACAAATAGAAAAATAATATATAATGGTGCGCGTTTGCTAGATTACTATAAATCAACACTAATCAGATTTCCGTTTGTTATTGCAATTTCTCTTTCGCACTGGATTTTAATTTCCAGGAAAACAATGAAAACCTCCAGTTCTGGGGTCTCAAACTTGTTTCTAGCTTAGTAAACGTAATATCTAGCAATTAAAAGATAATGGTTAAAAGTACGAAAGCTGTTAGATTCAGGTTTGTATCCATAAAGAACTTCCGTTGGATTGGGATTTACGTCTTCAGGACTTTTACGATTCCACCAATCTGACTTTTTCCCAAAAAATTTTGACGGCAGGACACTCCTAAAACATATGGCTAATAGTTTCAGAAGGAGCATCACATTGTTCGCATTTTGGAGAAGATTTAACATTCGTTTTCCAAAGGCGTTGGTTGTTTGGAAGAATATTGTGGACGAGTTTGAACTGAAAACTTCTTAGCCTGAGCTTATTTTCAATGGTGATTTTGAATGGAAGCTCATATACGGCACTAGGAGTGAATGTTTGTTCTCTTAAATAGGATTCAGTTAATGGAGGGCAGAAAAATTTATCAGCAAACATTAAGTGGAGCACATTTTGCTGAAACGTTTCTAACGGTTAGTTGTATCACGGTTGGTTCGTCGGTGTGTGCCTGATTGCCATGTAAGATAGCATTTTTCCAATCTTTATAGGAATCCCGGCCAGAAGACCACCGTAATCAAGAAAGGTACCACGAACGTCGAAAGTATCTTTAAGGTCTTGGAAAGATAGGAAGTTATTGTAAGTATTGAGGATATCTTTGATTCTTAAAATGCCTTTACTAACCCATGCTTTATAAAAAAACCGTCTTTTCGCCGATCTTAATAAAGCGGTTATTCCAAAGTTTTTCCTCTTTGATTTCATTAACACTGAGGGGTACCTTGGAAAGACGGATCTGCCAGACAGTTAAAATGTTCCTATAAAAAAGGGGGAGACCTTCTAGATCTAAAAATTTCAAATCTTAATTACACTGAAATAAAAAAGAGCATCCCAATTTTTCAAGATGAGAGTCAAGAAGCGCACACCAATGATGACCATCCGATGAACAATAGCGATTTACCCAGGCAGCTTTAAGAGATTTTTCTACGTCCGCGAAATTGACCATGCTAAGGCCACCTTTGAAGACAGGGCTGTCAGCGTGTTTCTTTTGATTTTATCAGGCTTAAAGGTCCATATGAAAGGGAAAATGACCTTATTAACTTCTTTAGCAAAATCAGTCGGAGTATCAAGTACAGAGCAATTATAAACAAGTTTAGACAGTGCTAATGTTTTGACAATAGCAATTCGCCCCAGGATTGATAAGCGCCGACCTGACCAAAGATTTAACACCTTTTTCATTTTAACAACCCTTTCATCAAAGTTGATTTTCTCGCCAACGTGCGTTTCATAAGCGAAAACTACGCTGAGGGAGGAGAAGAGGGAGCTTAAGCAACAACGACGGCGACGGCTACGAAACCGTCACTTAAAAAGTGAATTCGCGCTGCTTCAAACTTTACCGCGCTTATTCCATCTCGTTTAATTTGTCATATGTGGGCAAATTTTTTTGAAGTTGAATTCTGAAGGACTATATCAAATTTCAGGAAAAGAAAAAGAAAGTTGTTGTCTTGTGTTCCCGTCCTCGACAAAACGTGAAATTAGGCACTTTCACGTTGCAGTTGTGCAGTGACGGCAAAGAAATGTACAAAAAAGCGTGATGCACGTGCAATGTTGTTGTTTTGCTAATCCAACCTATGGCATTTTTGCCGTTCCCGTTGCCGTCGCCGTCGCCGTTGCTTTAACTCCCTATTGCTTCGGCCAAGAGATTCCAAAAGGCTCGTCTTTACCTAATCTGTTTTTCCACAATCCAAGCCACAGCCCGAATATTATTTATACATATATTATTTTTATCTTTAGCGACAAAGAACCGAGGATTGGTGGACTGGAGAAGGGTCAGTTAAGCAACAACACGGCAACAAGAACGTCAAAATCAAAAAATGGTTAAGTAAGCAAAACAACAACTCTGCACGTGCAAGTCACTTTTTAGTACATTTCTTTGCCTTCACAGCACGACTACGAAATGAAACTTCCTATTGCCACTCAGACGACCAACTTCGAATTTTTCTTTCTTTGTATAAACTTGATAGGGCTGTAACACTGAACTAAACTCCAGAAAAGGTAGCCTATATTTAAAAAGCGAGGTTAAAAAACGCGATAAAACTTTAAAGCGAATAACCTTGATCAGCGACAGAACAGTTTTGTCCCATCAGCTCTTGCTCATTGAATGTACTTTTCGTATTTAACTATTTAAATTATCCGTTATAAATATAACCTAGTTCAACGCTGGCTAGCTGGGTGTCTGTCTAGCAAGAACCACCCCGTCACTCTCGCGCAATTAACTGAAGTATTTCCAGACAAAGGGGGAGTGTATGTGTATTGGTGTAAAAAGCAAGACTTCAGTTAAGATGTGCTCCAGGCCCTTGTTTCCCTCTTCGTCAAAGTTGCTGCTGCACAACTCGAAAAGGTTGTCTCTGGGCGCGGCGTTTAATGGAAGAAGTCCCATAGTAAAGCTTCTATTTTTCTTTACATAAACAGCCCACCTTAAAAGAGAAGGCAAAATAAATATAAAATCAAAACGGAAACGTGAACTCACAAATGCCCAATGACCCTTATGCATGTTTACGTCAGATGAGCAAATTTCACCACCAAGCTTCAAGTGAAGTTGAAAAGTTTCCAAGTTTTGCATAAATGAATTCCCAAGGCAGAACAGTTGAAAAGAATACCGTAAAAGTCCGAA